AAAAAAAAAAAAAAAAAGAAATAATAAAATAAGTATCTAATACATCCTGCCAGGCTTGGTGGCTCACGCCTGATAACCCCAGCACTTTGAGAGGCCAAGGCAGGTGGATCACCTGAGGTCAGGAGTTTGAGACCAGCCTGGCCAACATGATGAAACCCGGTCTCTACTAAAAATACAAAAATTAGCTGGGCCTGGTGGTGTGGGCCTATAGCCCCAGCTACTTGGGAGGCTGAAGTGGGAGGATCACTTGAGCCTGGGAGATGGAGGCTGCAGTCAACTGAGATTGTGCTACTGCACTTTAGCCTGGATGACAGAGACCCTGTCTTAAAAAAAAAACATTAAAAATAAAATAACTAATGAAAATGGTGGCTGTTAGGATTTAAAATTAAAAATATATAAGCACACTAGAAAAATACATAATATCAAATGATGAAATATCGAAACAGAAAAATATACATCAAAAGCACAAAAATTTTATTTCCAGTGTAATTGTAATTGTGTTTCAAGTGTGTGTGTGTATGGTGGGGGAGATAGAGAATAGAAAGAAAAGTATCAAAATGCCAGGAAGGATTATATAAAGTAGGGCTGTGGTGGTTTTTTAAATCTTATTTTCTAAATGTTTTGTAAGTTATTTTTATTTATTTTTTATTTTACACATTGAATTTCTGCTGATGTATTACTTTTAAAATAAGTACCTTTTTGACAAATCACCTGGCTGACTCATAGTGAGTCAACTGCACCCAGGCACACTGGTTTACCGCAGGCCTCATCTCAGCTCACTGCTGGGACATGCCTTGTCTCAAAATGATAAGATGCCTTTAGGGAATTAAAGTTCTATTGTGTCATAATTTATCAAGCCCATAGACAGATGGGGCAAAGCTGCTCCAGTGACTTTTCGTACTATAGTTGAAACAATGCTGAATGGAACAAGAAGCCCAGAAACACTGGTTCCATGTTCAGTGCTGCATTTTTGTCCAGAGTGGTCATTTAACCTTCTTTCCTTATTCCAATACTAAAAGGGTCAGATAACTTGTGAATTTCTAATTATGTTATGTATAGAAACGTCAGCTGAGTAGAGGAGATATAGAAAATTAGTGGTAGACTACAGCAAGACTCCAAGAGTTTGGGAAACAAGGAAGCATGGTTTATGACCTCTCATACTAGGAAAATGCAAAGTAAAGAACTCAACAATGGGTTGAGATAAAAGTGCAGGATTTCTCAAAATTTAGACAAGAAATCTGGGTAATAGCATACAGCACTAGCAACAGGTTTGAGTAACAGGAATTTTTTTTTTTTTTTTTTTTTTGAGGGGGTTTCGTTTTTTTTTTTTTTTTTTTTTTTTTTTTTTTTTTAAGAGACGGGGTCTCACTATGTTGCCCAGGCTGGAGTGCAGTGGCTATTCACAGGCGCAATCCCACTACTGATCAGCAGGGGAGTTTTGACCTGCTCTGTTTCCGACCTGGGCCGGTTCACCCCTCTTTAGGCAACCTGGTGGTCCCCGGCTCCCGGGAGGTCACCATATTGATGTCGAACTTAGTGCGGACACCCGATCGGCATAGCGCATACAGCCCAGAACTCCTGGGCTCAAGCGATCTTCCCGCGTCAGCCTCCCGAGTAGCTGGGACTACAGGCACGCCACTGCCCTGGCGGAAAAATCTGTATGCATTAAATCATTGGAAAGGGCTGGGCGCGGTGGCTCACACTTGTAATCCCAGAACTTTGGGAGGCCGAGACGGGCAGATCACAAGGTCAAGAGATTAAAACCATCCTGGCCAACATGGTGAAACCCCGTCTCTACTACAAAATACAAAAATTAGCTGGCCATGGTGGTGTGCGCTGTAGTCCCAGCTATTCGGGAGGCTGAGGCAGGAGAATTGCTTGAACCCAGGAGATGGAGATTGCACTCCAGCCTGGCACCTGGCAACAGAGCAAGACTCTCTCTCAAAAAAAAAAAAAAGAAAGAAAGAAAGAAATCATTGGAAGCAACCTGAATATACCCAGAGTTAAGCCATACTACATCTTCTTAGAAACATTATGCAGTCATTAAAATTCTTTAGTTTGTAAAACAGCACAGGAAAGCATGCACAGGGCAGGAAAAATACACATGCATGATTACAGCTTTGTTGTGGGAAGAAAGTCGTAAGCATAGAGTCTGGAATTAACAAAAATGTCACCTGCTTTTTCCATTAGATTAGAGAAATAAGGGTATTTTTCTCTATTTTCCTATTTTTTCAAATTATATATTTTATTTATTTTTTAGACGCAGGATCTTGCTCTGTTGCCCAGGTTGGATTGCAGTGGTGTGATCCTAGCTCACCAGGCTCAAGCAGTCTTCCTACCTTGGCCTCCTAAAGAGCTAGGATTCTAAGTGTGAACCACCATGCCCAGCAATTTTCCAAATTATATTTAATATCATGTTAATTTTAACAAAGGCGACAAAGCAAGACTCCATCGAAAAAACAAAACAAACAAACAAACAAAAACAGGCAGGGCTCCGTGGCTCACACCTGTAATCCCAGCACTTTGGAAGGCCAAGGCGGGCAGATCACCAGAGGTTGGGAGTTTGTGACTAGTGTAAGCAATACGGAGAAACCCCATCTCTACTAAAACTGCAGAATTATCCAGGCATGGTGGTGCATGCCTATAATCCCAGCTACTCGGGAGGTTGAGGCAGAATTACTTGAACTGGGGAGGCAGAGGTTGCAGTGAGCTGAGACCGTGCCATTGGACTCCAGCCTGGGCAATAACAGGCTGTCTCAAACTCTGTCTCAAAAAAAANGTAGAGACAGGGTTTCACCATGTTGACCAGGATGGTCTCGATCTCTTGACCTTGTGATCCACCCGCCTCGGCCTCCCAAAGTGCTGGGATTACAGGCGTGAGCCACCGCGCCCGGCCTAACAGGAATTTTTTAAACCCTATCTAGCAAAAAACAGAAATTTGTGGTAGGGTGTAACCACACACACAGAATTTAGGTAGGCACTCCAGGCTAGAATGAAGACGTAGAGAAAAATGCTGTTTCAGGTATAGATGAGTGTTTCACTTGAGAGAATACCGAAGCCCAAAAGGCTCATGTAGTTTGGGGAGTCAGTACTTCTCAAACGCACTATCCAGTAGAACTTTTTTTTTGAGACGTTGTCTCACTGTGTTGCCCAGGCTGGAGTGCAACAGTGAGAACTCAGCTCACTGCAGTCCCCACTTCCCGGGTTCAAGAGATTCTCCTGCCTCGGCCTCTCATGCAGCTGGCACCTAGCTAACTTTTGTATTTTTGGTAGACAGGGGGTTTCACCATGTTGGCTGAGCTGGTCTCAAAGTCCAGACCTCAATTGATATGCCTGCCTTGGCCTCCCAAAGTGCTGGGATTACAGGCATGAGCCACTGTGTCTGGCCTTTTTTTTTTTTTTGCAACAGAGTCTCACTCTGTGGACCAGGCTGGATTGCAGTGGTGCAATATCTGCTCATTGCAACCTCTACCTCCTGGATTCAAGTGATTCTCCTGCCTCAGCCTCCCAAGTAGCTAGGATTATAGGCACATGCCACTGTACCTGGCTCAGTTTTTTGTATTTTTAGCAGAGACAGGGTTACATCACGCTGGCTAGGCTGGTCTCAGACTGCTGACCTCAAATCATCCAGCTGCCTCAGCCTCCCAAAGTGCTGGGATTACAGGGGAGAGCCACCAGGCCCGGACAAGCCTGCCTTAAACTTAACCCCAGATTAGATCTGGGCTCTGGAGTTTGGAAAGGCATAGCAATTCTTTCAGTGGCACTCATAATAGAATCAACTAGTGCAGACAAGGATGTTCCTAATCTTAGACTGTTCCTAAGTGCAAAAATAACAGCCAAATCACACAGATTTATAAACTGGACTCTGGACCTAGAAATCCAGACATTGCTTTCTACCCTGACCCAGTTAAGAAAAGAGATTATTTTTTAGTATGCCATACAGGTTTATTGGTTATTTTACACAAAAGAATGTGAGCAATTTGCAAGCATTCAATATTTCAAAAGGCTCAATACAAGCTGCCTTCCTTTCAACCTAAGAAAGTATACTAACTCCAGGCAAATAGAATGGAGTCAGACTTCAAGTTTATATAACAGACTAAAAAGAAACCCAGGGTCCCTGCTTTGTTAGGAAAATGGACAAAACCGGCTAAAAGTAAAGGAAAAAAATTAAAAGTAAGATACTGGCTGGGCACCGTGGCTCACACCTGTAATCCCAGCACTTTGGGAGCCGGAGGAGGGTGGATCACTTGAGGTCAGGAGTTTGAGACTAGCCAGGGCAACAGGTGAAACCCCGTCTCTACTAAAAATACAAAAAATTAGCCAAGTGTGGTATAGCACACACCTATAACCCCAGCTACTCAGGAGGCTGAGCCAGGAGAATAGCTTGAACCTGGGAGGCAGAGGTTGCAGTGAGCAGTGATCATGCCATTGCACTCCAGCCTTGGTGACAGAGTGAGACCCCATCAAAAAAACCAAATACTAAAGTACTGATTCCTATAACATTAACTATTTGCCTATGAGACAGACAACACATTCAACATTCAAACATAAAGTTAATAAATTTTAAAAAGGAAAAAAGTGGCTACTCTGGGGACACTGCCTAGGGGGTAGCCCTGCTCCACAAGGAGCAATTAAAAAAATAAATAAAAAGTTCTTCTTTAGAAAGAAAGAAAAATAAACAAGTAAGTAAATAAAAAGAATAAAGTACTGGTAAAGTTATCAGATACCAATTTTTAAAATGAATCATTAATAGTTTTACCAGCTCCCTTTGAAGGAATCCAAAAGCCAAGAAGTAAAACAAAATTTTAAAATGATGGTGTCTTCCTGAAACTAAGCCCACGATTCCAATATTTTTCCTTTCTTCAAATCCTCTAAACCCTTTTCCTTTCTTCAAATCCTCTAAACCTATCCTATGAGGGTATCCTCTAAACCCTTTTATGAGAAATAACACAGTCTGATCACTGCGAACATTTCCACACAATGACATAATCAGAAATTATACTTCTTCCATTATTTAACTTATTCATTCTTGTTCTCCACATACCATGAACACCAGAGTAAGCAAGAGAATATAATTTTCCCCTGTAACTGAAGCATTACTAAATGTACAACATGAGAAACTTAGGCACTGTGGAAGGCCCTGATGGCAAAGGAAATAAGCCACCCGCATGGCCTCAAGAACAAACTGCACATCTCTAAGGAAGATTTAGAGAGGCATTTATCCAGGAATGGGTCTTCTCCAAGGCTGGACAGGGAGGGAGTGCGGAAAGCACAGCATTTCTTGTAGGATAAAAGGTTTCATTTGGAGACACTCTGGTGTCCTGAGGAAGAGAAGGAGACACTGAAACAGCCTGTTTTGTGCATTTTAAATCTTCCTTGTTTTCCACCATCAATAACTGTTCTATCTTTTCTTTCAAAGATAAATTTGCCTGCAACTCATGTTTGGTTGTCATAAAGTGTTCTTTCTGAGTTATTCTCTGGTCCTCTGACCCCTTTGACTCAGGGCAAATGAGTTTGTTACTGGAATCCTCACTGGTTTCCCCTTCTTCTATGGGAGGTAGATGTTGAGGTTTTGTAGCTTGTTTATTCATAGATTCTTCTTTCAGTAAATTCACATCCCCGTGAAAGTCTTGAGATGTAAAACTTGGAGTTTTATCTATCCTAGAATTTTTGCCAAATAAGAAACCTTTGACATTCTGTTTCCTTGCTGCCTCTGTCACTAATTTCTTTGGCTGTAGCACTGTCCTTATAAGGAGTCCCTGTGCATTCACCCTATATTCTCTTGCAGCTTTCTCTCTGCGCTGCTTCTGGAAGTCCTTGAGTTGAAGCAGTTCGTCTGGCAGCTCCATACATGTAGGCTAAGAAGAGAAAGTGAACACAAGTTTACTATAACTAAACTTCTGAATATGGTACTTAAAATCACTTCTTTTATTTTTTGAGACGGAGTCTCATTCTGTTGCCAGGTTGGAGTACAGTGGTGTGAACTCAGCTTACTGCAACCTCCGACTCCCTGGTTCAAGTGATTCTCCTGCCTCAGCCTCCCGAGTAGCTGGGATTACAGGCACACTCCAGACATCCAGCTAATTTTTGTAGTTTTAGTAGAAACAGGGTTTCACTATGTTGGCCAGGATGGTCTCAATCTCCTGACCTTGTGATCCACCTGCCTCAGCCTCCCAAAGTCCTGGGATTACAGGCATGAGCCACCATGCCCAGCCTGAAATCACTTCTATTGTACCGAATGGTAATCGGTAAATGAGGGTCTATTCAAATGTGTTCATATAGCACCCTCTGGTGTCTTCAACTATAGAAGTACCATTTTTCTAGTAATTTCCATATTTTGAAAAGGCAGTGAATCCATAGGGCTGTGTGTCTGTGTGTGTATGCACGTATGTATAAAAATTATACAGGAAAAGTAAGTCTCCCAACCTGGCTTCAGTTGCCTTAGCAGGTACATCTTAGTTTCTTGTGTTATCTACCAAATATAGTCTACTCATGTATGATCATATACATATACATATTTTTTTTCATCGGATTACATTTTTATTTTCCTCCGCATTTTTATTTTGTTAACTCTTTCAGGTTTGGAGAGGTTTTTTTTTTTTTTTTTTTTTTGAGACAGGGTCTTGCTCTGTTGCCTAGGCTGGAGTGCAATGATGTGATCATGGCTCACTGTAACCTCTAACTCCTGTAACCTCTAACTTTGTGATCCTCCTGCCTCAGCCTCCTGAATAGCTGGAACCACAAGTCCATGCCACCATGCCTAATTTTTTTTTTTTTTTTTTGGTGACAGGGCCTTGCTCTGTCACATAGGCTGAAGTGCAGTGGTGTGATCATGGCTTACTGCAACCTCCACCTCTTGGGCTCAAGCAATTCTCCCACCTAAGCCTCCCCAACTCAGAGTAGCTGGAACTTCAGGTGTGTGCTACCACACCTGGCTAATTTTTAAATTTTTTGAAGAGACGGTTTCACTACACTGCCCAGGCTGGTCTTGAATTCCTGGGCTCAAGTGATCCTCCTTCCTCGGCCTCCCAAAGTGCTGAAATTATAGGCATGAACCACCACACCCAGGCTCTGATTATATTTTCTAGCTGCTCATATGGGTATCAAAAAGCTATTAATTTTTACATATGTACCAGGCCCTTTAAAAGTTGCCTTTTTGTTTGTGGTAGTCTTTTTCAGTGGATTCTCTTCGGTTTTTAATTGTGTAACTGGCAAGTCATAATTCTGATTCCTTTTTTCAATTTTCATAGCTCATATTTTATTTTCTAGTTTCAGTAATAGCTTCAAAAATGCTAAAATAGTGGTGATTGTCACAATTTTTGTACATTCCTGATATTAATGTTCTCAAACAAATATACAGTCTTCTCTCTTGAGATACCTTCCATATCCATGAGTTCTGCATCCATGGATTCAACCAAGTGTGGATTGATATAGTCAGGAAAAAGGGCTGGGCCGGGTGGCTCACACCTGTAATCCCAGTGCTTTGGGAGGCTGAGGTGGGCAGATCACATGAGGTGAGGAGTTCCAGAGCAGCCTAACCAACCCCATCTCTACTAAAAATACAAAAATTAGCTGGGCACGGTAGTGCATGCTTATAATCCCAGCTACTCAGGAGGCTGAGGGAGGAGAATCACTTGAACCCAGGAGGTTGAGGTTGCAATGAGCCAAGATTGCACCACTGCACTCCAGCCTGGGTGACAGAGTAAGATTCTGTCTCAAAAAAAANAAAAAAAAAAAAGGCTGAGCGTGGTGGCTTACGCCTGTAATCCCAGCACTTTGGGAGGCTGAGGCGGGTGGATCACGAGGTCAATGGATTGAGATCATCCTGGTCAACATGGTGAATCCCGTCTCTACTAAAAATACAAAAATTAGCTGGGTGTGGTGGCATGCACCTGTAGTTCCAGCTACTCTGGCAGCTGGGGCAGGAGAATCGCTTAAACCCGGGAGGCAGAGGTTGCAGTGAGTCGATATTGCACCACTGCACTCCAGCCTGGGAACAGAGCAAGACTCCATCAAAGAAAGAAGAGGGGAGGGGAAATGTGGGAAGGGGAGGGGAGGGGAAGGGTATTAGGCTAGGCGCGGTGGCTCATGCCTATAATGCCAGCACTTTGGGAGGCCAAGGCAGGCAGATCACCTGAGGTTGGGAGTTCGAGACCAGCTTGGCCAACATCGTGCAATCCCATCTCTACCCAAAATACAAAAATTAGTTGGGTGTGGTGGCACATGCCTGTAATCCCAGCTACTCAGGAGGCTGAAGCAGGAGAACTGCTGGAACCCCAGAGGCGGAGGTTGCAGTGAGCTAAGATCATGCCATTGCACTCCAGCCTTAGTGACAGAGTGAGACTTCATTTCAAAAAAATAAAATAGAATACATAAATACAGAAATATTAAACTTACCCATTCTTAGACAGAAATATTTCTTGGAAACCTAACTTAATATTATGAAAAGGTGTTCAAGGGGATGGATCATGCCCAAGCTGTTGCCCTTTTAAGAATGTTTATCACCAAGTTGGCCCCATCAAAATTATTGCAGCTATTAAGCAAGAGTATCACTGTGTCTGCCTTCCATGGGAAGAAGGCAGAAAGGAGGTTCTGAAGACAGAGAGCTGCAGCTACCTCGGTGCCTCCAAGACGGTCTGCAGACCCTCCACGGTATGTGTTTAGGTATCCATCCACCAGAGTGGTTAGGTCAGACATCATCTCATCTAGGAGTGCCCAGCGAAGGGGTAATAGGTAGGTTGCTTCTAGGGCCAAAATTTTCAGTAAAGAGGGTGAAACAGGTCGGATGAACCATACTTCTGGATTTTCCTGGAGACAATAAAACAATTTCCTCTGAATAGTAAGCAAGGCGTTAAAGAAAATAACTGTTGCTTAATTTAAGACACTATCATTTTCTTCTATTATTACCTTCTACTTTCACACTATCGATAGCCTTTGAGCATACACACACTTGCACACATACTCCTACATTAACAGTGTGTGTGTAAAACAGAGAAAGAGAGGGGTAGAGGAAGAGGCAGGTTGGTCAATCAAGACTTCTCAAAGCTAGAGGCAGCAAACTTGATTATGTGAGCAGAATTGTAACCAATATATTTATGACCTAAGTTAGCATGCAAGGATTATCAGGAGCTAAAGAAAATTCTCCTTACTTTGGGATAAATAACTAGGGTGATTTGTTCCCATTGACGCGATTGAAATTCCCACAAAAGCTCCCCCCTTGACCCAGCTAGAAAATTTATTCAAGAATGCTTTTTATTTATTTTTATTTTTTGAGATGGAGTCTCTGTCTGTTGCCAAGGCTGGAGTGAAGTGTGCAGCGGTGCCATCTTGGCTCACCTCAACCTCTACCACCCCAGCCCCAACCCTAGGTTCAAGTGATTTTCTTGCCTCAGCCTCCTGAGTAGCTGAGATTATAGACACCCGCCACCATGCCCAGCTAATTTCTATGTATTTAGTAGAAACAAGATTTTACCATGTTGGTCATGCTGGTCTTGAACTCCTGACCTCAGGTGATTTACCCGCCATGGCCTCCCAACGCGGTGGGATTACAGGCGTGAGCCACCACGGCTGGCCTAAGAATGCTAAGATAGCCAACAAACCTGGATCTTGGCTTTTATCCGCTTGAGACCAGATATAAACTGTTCCCATTTGGCACAGTTAAGATTTTGGCAATGTTCCTATGATTACATGGCAGCTGTCGTTTTTCTATGTAATAGGCTGATAATACTGCTCAGAAAACACTTAAAAAAAGATAATGTCATACAGGACATCCTTTAACACTCACCTGAATCAGTTTTTGTCTCTCTTCTAGAAAGGAGAGATATTTAGGGGCTACTTTAAGGTGTTTGATTAAACTCTCCTGCAAAGTAGTGATGCAGTTTGGAAGATAGCCACCCGTTTCCATGGAAAACTGAAGGACATCTGCTACCTGTGGTATTTTAAAAAGACAAACAGATCAGTTGAATATATACAGAGAGCTATCTCATGGCAGAAATATATTTAGAGAAATGTCTAACTACCATTTTCCCCAAGGATCCACATGACAGACTATGTCATCATGAAATTTAAAGTTGTTCGGTCAGCTTATTCTGAAAAAATGGGGAAAAAAAAGCTTTTTTTTTTTTTTTTGGAGGTAGAGTCTTGCTCTGTCGCCCAGGCTGGAGTGCACTGTGCAGTGGCACAATCTCAGCTGACTAAAACCTCCACCTCCCAAGCTCAAGCGATTGTTCTGCCTCAGCCTCCCCAGTAGCTGGGATTATAGGTGCACACTACCACACCTGACTAATTTCAACTTATTTATTTATTTATTCATTTATTTATATTAGAGACGGAGTCTTGCTCTTATTGCCCAGGCTGGAGTGCAATGGTGCAATCTCAGCTCATCGCAACCTCTGCCTCCCGGGTTCAAGTGATTCTCCTGCCTCAGCCTCCCAAGTAGCTGGGATTACAGACGCCTGCTACCACGCCCAGCTCAACTTTTTTTTAGAGATAGGGTCCTGGTATGTTGTCCAGGCTGGAATGCAGTGGCTATTCACAGGCAAGATTCCACTACTAATGAGCATGGGGGTTCTGACCTGGTCCATTTCTGACCTGGGCTCATTCACCTTCACTTAGGCAACCTGGTGGTTCTTCCTGCTCCTAGGAGGCCACCACATTGATGCCAGTCTCAGTATGGACACCCAATTAGCACAGTGCCCTACAGTCCCAAACTCCTTAGCTCAAGCAATTGTCCCACCTCAGCCTTCACAGTAACTGTGACTACAGGCAAAAACCATCATAGCCAGCAATCCAAATTTACTGTGTCCTTATCTACTTTTTTCCCCACCCCCCGCCACCAAGATGGAGTCTTGCTCTATCACTCAGAGCTGGAGTGCAATGGTGCAATCTCGGCTCGCTGCAACCTCCACCTCTGGGGTTCAAACTATTCTCCTGTCTCAGCCTCCTGAGTAGCTGAGATTATAGGCACGCGCCACCACGCCTAATTTTTTTATTTTTATTAGAGATGGGGTTTCACCATGTTGGCCAGGATGGTTTCAATTTCTTGACTTTGTGATTCGCCCGTCTCGGCCTCCCAAAGTACTGGGATTACAGGCGTGAGCCACTGCACCCGGCCAACAAGTGTTGTTTTTTTCCCCAGTCTTTCTAAGGTTCAATTCAGGTAAACAAGTGCTTTTTTAAGAGCAGGGCTCAGGGATATTTTACTATAGTCAGAGGAGAAGGTGATGTGATGATGGAAGCAGAGATTACAGTGATGCACTCTGAAAATGGAGGAAGGGGCTACAAGCCAAGGAATACAGCTGGCTGCTAAAAGCTGAAAAAGGCAAGGAAACTCTCTCTTCAGAGCCTCTAGAAGAAACCAGCTGTGCAGAACACCTTGACTTTACCCTAGTGAAAATGATTCAAGATTTCTGACCCCTAAAACAAAGTAATAAATTTACACTGTTTTAGGCCACTAAATTTGTGATGATTTGTTACAGCAGCAAGAAACTAAAATTTTGTTATAGAAAAACAAATTGGTGAAGTTTCTGCTTCTTGGACTATGTAAATCTGAAAAGAAAAACATGAACAGGTATGCCAAGGTCTTCATTAGACAATATGTATAAGATCTAATCAAGAAGCCTAAAGGCCTCAAGGAAACAAGCAGCAATTATCTTAGAGTTTAGAGTAAGCATAAAAGCAATCTCTACTTAGTGAAACATCCTGAAAGAAGGCAGAAAGGAACATGTAAGTTAGAAATGGCAGCAAATTCATTGTGGATAGATACATAAACAGAAAAAGTGTACCAAATATAGTAACATAAAATTGAATGGGGATTGCTGCTCAAAAATAATTGGCCAACTCAGTAGTTCAATTTCTCTCCAAAGGCTCTAGGCTTCTGCAGTCAAGATTTCCCTTTCAGTCATAAACCTAAAAGACTAGAAGTACCTAAAGAAAACATAATGAAAACTAGTGGTTTTAGTGCTCTCACAGCCAAACCAGAAAACTAGATCAGCTCTAAGAGATAGTAGAGGTTCATCCTTTACTTGGGTGGCTGAGGCAGGAGGATGGCTTGAGCGTAAGAGTTTGAGACTAGCTTGGGCAACATAGTAAGACCCTGCTTCTAAATGATAATAATAATAACAAAACCATAATAGTTAGTAGAATCTAGGGAATTTTTTTTTTTTTTTTTTTTTTTTTGAGACGGAGTTTCACTCATGTTACCCAGGCTGGAGAAATCTAGGGAATTTTTATTTCTCTAAGGTCCCTTAGATGACAGACAAATTATATTGCTTCAGGCTTTTTTGGGCCCAAATAGATTTGGGGGGCATATGCAGGACAACCTGTACTCCTGAGTTAGATGTCAGTTTGCCATAATTGTTACATATGTGGTAAAGGCAGATATTTGATTGTTCTCTCACACTACATCTCCCATGTCAGGCTTCTGAATGATCCCTAAATTGCTCAAGATTCACAGTGCTATGGACTATGGATCTTGCTTCTTATTTGACAAATTCTGGAGCAAAATGAGGAAAACATCTTTCTAAATAATTTTAAGTATCTTCTCTGCAGTGCTTTTAGAGTACACCAAATCTTCTCACATATTGTACAAACATTTTACATGAGAAGTGAGCAGAAAAGGGGCACCAAAAAAAAAAAATTAAAAAGACTTTCACTTATCAGATGACCAGATGAGCCCTTTTAATGTTCCAATTTTAGTATATGTGCTGCCAAAGTGAGCAGGAGCCCTTTTATCAACAGGAGCTGTGTATATTGGTTTGAATCCAGTGCTTCCCTTCATGTACCTGTGTGTCAAAGACATTATTCAGCAAAATTCCATACTGATGAGAGAGGCAATCAGAAAGCCAACGACAATCATGGATAACCTAAGGAATCAGAAGAGAACAGTTATTAGAACCAGGCTGCTAATCATAATAGCGCAGGAATTGGTTTACACACTTACCTTCAAAATTCTCTTGTCTTCTAATATCATCTGAAGTCCATTGTTGAAAGCTCGACTTCCCAGAAGGAAAATGTCAAATAAATAAACTCGGCAATTTGTGGCCACCTACAATAGACCATTCAGACACACACATCATAGGATAAAGAAGAACTAAGGAAGGGAAATCTGAGGATGAAAAGTAAAAGACATGTGTTAAAATATCTAACATCTTCACTTCATCTATCTATTTATTTATTTAGAGACAGAGTTTCACTCTATCTCCCAGGCTGGAGTGCAGTGGCCCAATCTCGTCTCACTGCAGCTTCCATCTCCTGGCTTCCAGCAATTCTCCTGTCTCAGTCTCTCTAGTAGCTGGGATTATAGTCATCTGCCACCATGCCCAGCTAATTTTTGTATTTTTAGTAGAGACAGGGTTTCACCATGTTGGCGAGGCTGGTCTCAAACTCCTGACCTCTTTGGCCTTCCAAATGTTGAGATTACAGGCATGAGCCACCACACCCAGCCAATTTTTTTTTTTTTTAAATTTTTAATACAGACAAGGTCTTGCTACATTGCCCAGGCTGGTCTCAAACTCCTCAGCTGAAGCAATCCTCCTTCCTTGGCCTCCCAAAGTGCTGGGATTACAGATGTGAGCAACCTCACCTGGCCTAGAGTAATGTTTTTAGGGTTTATATATATATATATATAGACAGAGAGAGAGGATGATGATGAAGGCTTGCTCTTTCACCCAGGCTGGAATGCAATGGCACAATCCTGACTCACTACTGCCTCCACCTCATGGGTTCAAGCAACTCTCCCATCTCAGGTTCCCAAGTAGCTGGGATTACAGGCATGTGCCACCACACCCAGCCAATTTTTGTATTTTTAGTAGAGATGTAGTTTCACCATGTTGGCCAGGCTGGTCTTGAATGTCTGACCTCATGATCCATCTGCCTTGGCCTCCCAAAGTGCTATGTATCATGAAAGTTCTGAGAATGGGTGCTAGGTATGTCTGGCAATTGTAGTTATAACATAGTTCAGCTCTTGAGATGACAGAAATGGTATCAGACTGTCACATGCCCAGCTTTCTTGATTCATTTGGATGTTGTGTTTTAAATTAATTTTTTTTGTTTGTTTGTTTTTTTGTACAGACAGGGGTCTTGCTTGGTGCCCCAGCTAGACTTGAACTCCTGGCCTCAAGTGATCCTCCCACCTCAGCCTCCAAAGTCATGAGATATAGACATGAGCCACCATGTCTGGCATCTGGATTTTTTTTTGTCTTTCCTGTCTTAGCAGATCATCCAGCTATGCTGCTTTTGTGATTTTTGTGATCAGAAACAATGTTGGCTGGGCACAGTGGCTCAGGCCTGTAATCCCAGCACTTTGGGAGACCAAGGCGGGCAGATCACCTGAGGTCAGGAGTTTGAGACCAGCCTGGCCAGTGAAACCCTGTCTCTAATGAAAGTACAAAAAATAGCCAGGCATGCTGATGGGCTTATGTAGTCCTAGCTACTTGGGAGGCTGAGGCAGGAGAATTGCTTGAACCCAGGAGATGGAGGTTGCAGTGAGCCAAGGTCTTGCCACTGTACTCTAGCCTGGGCAACAGAGTGAGACTCTGTTTCA